TTTTCCCTTGGATTTTCTTTGCTATCAGGAAGTTGCACTAGGATTTTCTTTGTTATCAAAAAGTAATGGAGAGACCATCGATCAAATCTACTATCGTTTGATTAGCGAATATGATTCATTTCGAGTGAAGACTAGAAATTGTTAGGAAAGAGATGGAACCAAGATCTAGATTATAGGAAAATCACAGAGCAAACACATACACACAACTTTAATGTGGGTGTTTGATTGATGGATTAGGATTCGAAACACCCCAACATAAATTAGTGAAATACAACTGGAATATGTTAAATAGTTATATTCATGGCAAAATTAGTGAAATACAACTTCTCTTGAGAGTACAACTCAATGACTTGAGTTTGGTAGAGTCAACCCCTACCCCTATCTATACGTGGCAAAATTGAAACGGTCAAAACAAACTGCTTACATTGAGATTGCGTTGAGCTGTTGTCATCTAGTTCAAAAATTATATGTTAAACCTTTGGACTAGCTCATTTACCTACCGTTGCCGGGTCTTGTTTCACCTACTGGCGGGGGGTGGGGGCTGGGTCGCGTGCGGGAGCGGGTGCGGATACGGAATTATTATGAGTGGGCCCCCCTGATCAATAGTTATCTATCACTAATTATAATGAACTATGGGGACCAGCCTCTTCATCAGATGTACGTACTCTAAACACCATTCATGTGGTCTATTAACTTAAACCAAGTTTAACTATTAGCCTTAGTTATTGTCAAGTATTCCTTGATTAATGACTGCAATATGAAGATGCGATTGCCTGCTACGGCTGGACCAAAATATGAGGACCAAGGGAGGCCGACATGTGCAGATGTCCCCTCCCTATTGCATAATGAGTTGGCCATGCCAACTCATTATGCAATAGGGAGGGGACACATCACCTGTCCCCTCATTTGGTCCTATATTTTGGGTCCTTAAATCATTTTACTATGAATATTCCTCAGTTCCCACCTAGTAGGATGGGAACTCCATGAATCTTATGCGTTTCATTATTAATGGGGGCAAACCAAATAAATAAAGAAAAATATTGTTCATTAATGGTGTGTTTGGGAGTTTACTTAGGAAAGAGAAGGAAGGGGAAGGAAGGGAAAAAATTCCGCTTCCTTCCCTTCCCCTCCATTACACCCCAATTTGGGGTGTAAGAATTTGGGCCAAATTTCCCCTCCATTTCCTTCCCTTCCCCTCCATTACACCCCAATTTGGGGTGTAAGAATTTGGGCCAAATTTCCCCTCCATTTCCCTCCTCTACCCTCCTAAATGAAACTCCCAAACAAGGTTAAAATGAAATTTCCCTTCCCTTCCCCCTCTCTACCCTCCATCCAAACAGGCCATAAACATTTTAGAAGTCAATAAAGATGTTTACATATTTAAAGAGCATAGATGAAAGCAAAACATGGAATATTTTTTTGTGCTATCAAAACATCCATACGCAAGCATAACCTTTTAAACATTTCAGAGAAGGAAAGACGTGATAAATAGATCAGAAATTTCACCATCCGTATCTTGTATTAATTAGAATTGTAATAACAGCTTAAATTTCTGTCAGCGTTTTGTTAGATTTCCCTTCGGAAAAAAAGGCACTGCATTTTATATACTCGTTACTCAATAGTTATACATATTTTACATACCAATTTATTTTTATGTTTCCATTATGCAACATATCATATATCATAACTCAAAATATCGCACCTCCCATCAATGAACTCATATCTCTAAAGACAAACTTGTCATTTTCCAATTTCCCCTCCGTCCACTAGAAATTTAGAAGTAGACCCAATCACTCAAAAGATAAAATTTCCCCCACTCTTTATCTTTTCCTAACCCCCATAATAAAAGTCCATTATTAGTACCTTAACCCCCAAATTATTCCTCAATAAACAAAACCCAAATCCAACGCGGGAACAGTTAGTTATTTTCCCCAATAATCCCCAAATCTCCCCCCAAAAAAAAAACTCAGCTCCCCCCCAAAATTGATGATTTCACCTCGTCAATGGAATCCTCAATCGGCAAGCTCATCTACTGCTGCATCTCCAATCGCAGCCGAATCCTCTACTCCTACAACGGCAGATCGAAACCCTAGCTTCTCTCTGCATCGAAAAGGCGCCGCTTTCTCACTCCCACTACTTCTTCACACGGCGGCCGGCGCTCCTTTGGCTTCCTCCATCGACGAAACCCTAACCTACTTCGCGATCGTCGATCACGATCGCGACCGCAGCAACAAGCGCAAGTTTCTTCAGCTCCTTCATCAGATCAAGAACTCCTACAAGAGAAGCAACAATTTCGACGACGAGCTGATCCCGATCATCAAGCGCTTGATCTGCTCTTTGGAAAGCAAGAATTTCGATGTATCGAGCTCGAATTGTTACGGGTCGAGCTCGACAAAGGCGCCGCTTTTGGGGAGGAGCGGATCGGTAAAGATCGACGTGGAGGCTCCGCCGCCGCCGGAGGCGGCGGAGGGCGGCGGTGCTGAGAAAAGCTTGAACTTGAGTTTCTCGAGCAGGAACCGGCAGATTGGGAGGAAATTGTGGTGGAGGCATGTGAAGATTGTGGTGATTGCTGATGTTTTCTTGTGTCTGGTCTTGTTCGGGGTTTGGTTGGCGGTTTGTCGAGGGTTCCGATGTCTCTCGTAGGGATTCTGGCGGAGGGTTTTGGTTTGTATATATTTTTGATGAGAAGTTTATACGTAGATATTGTGTTTGTGATCATCTTGGAGTTGTTTTTTTGGTTTGTGTTTGATGCATACAAGTTCCAAATTTTGCTTCTTTATGTCGATGATAATCGTCACATTGTGTGATTTCTTCATGTGTGACAAGAATTGCCTTTCTGATTCCGAGCTGTTCTTGAATGTGGATGATTGATAACTCTCTTCAGATCTCATCTCCCATAATCAAATACTCTGCATTTCTCTTTTCAGCTATACCATTGATCTCTACAATGTTGGATATCTATCTGCACTTCAGTTTCTGAGCCCATTTATGTCGGAAGTTCTCGAACCACCGTGCAATATTTGCTGCCAGAGGTCCCTGGCCAGTTCTGTATCTCTGAGATCTCTATAGTTATCTCTGCTTCATTGAACCCTCAATGTAATGTATATATGTATTCACCTTCACTTTGCTTTGGTATCAATCTCTGAGAGCTCGCTTGTACCTGATAAATTGCTTTATATAATACAATGATGGGCATTACAATGATCCGATACGCACTTCTCATAACAAAAAATGTCTCTGAGAGGGCTGCACTTTGATTTGCTGGGTCAAACTTGTCAGCGTTTCATATATCAATGCTCTCTGCGGATGAGCGAGATCACCAGCCACAAACACGTGCCTCATCTTCTCAACCTCAATCCAGCTACACCCTGCAGGCTTCTTCAAATCCTTATTCTTCATCATCATCCTCACTTTTTCCACACCGTCCCAGTTTCTATCCGCTGCATACATATTCGACATCACAACAAAGTTCCCAACATTCGCATCTTCCACATCTAACAATTTCTCTGCTGCGATCCTCCCAATATTAACCTCTCCATGAGTCTTGCAAGAACCGAGCAAAGTACTCCATATATTAGCATTCGCTTCGTAGGGCATGTCCATTATGAAATCATGTGCTTCCTTTAGCCTTCCTCTTCTTGAGAGAAGATCTACTGCACAAGCATAATGCTCCATTGTTGGCTCAATGTCATGGATATCTTTGATTGATTTGAAATGTTTTAACCCTTCATCCACAAGCCCACCATGGCTACAAGCTGAAAGAAGAGTTGTTAAGATAACATGATCAGGTTTTATACCAAATTGAAGCATTTCCGAGAAGATGTTAATGGCCTCTTTTGCCATTCCATGCATTGCAAAGCCTCCAACCATTGCCGTAAAGATGATCAAGTCCTTTTCATGACATGTTTGAAAGAATTTGGAGGCATCTTTAATGCTTCCACATTTAGAGTATGTGTCCAAGAGATTTCCTTTTACGTGCAAATCATCAAGAGAAGCTCGAATTGTGTAGGCATGAATTTGCCTCACTAGTCTAATTGAGGCTAGCTGAGTACAAACACCAAGAATGCTCATAATACTAACCGTATTAGGCTTCATTCCTTTTTCTTGCAATTCCCGAAACAAACTGAAAGCTGAATTGTTGTTGCTTTCACTTTGAGCATAAACTTGAAGCATCAGATTCCAAGTAGTTTGATCTCTGTCAAGCATGTGGTTGAATATTTTCTCAGCATCCTCTTGATATCCATTCTTCATATAACCTGAGATCATTGTATTGTTTGTTACAATATTCCTTTCTACTAAGTTTTCGAATGTTTTAGATGCATTCTCTATGCTCCCACACTTTGCATAAGCATCAAGAACTGCATTTCCAACTGTTTGTTGGGTTGATAAGCCAGCTCGAAATGCATATCCATGGACTTCTCTTACCTTTCTCATTTCCATGGAAGCACAAGCTGGAAGAACACTAGTAAGGGTGATGGAATCGGGTTTTATTCCATTGTTGATCATTTGATTGAAAAGGGTAAGAAGCTTCATCCACTGATCATTGTCCAAGAAAGCATTAAGCATTGCATTCCAAGATATCAAGTCTTTCTTTTGCATTTCCTTGAAGATATCCAGTGCAGCGTCTAATTCTCCACATTTGCCATAAAAGCTAATGAGAGCATTCCATAAGGATGTCTCTTGGCTTAGCATTGAATGATTCTCCACATTTGCCATAAAAGCTAATGAGAGCATTCCATAAGGATGTCTCTTGGCTTAGCATTGAATGTTGAAGAATGTAATCATGTATTCTTAATGAGAGCATTCCATAAGGATGTCTCTTGGCTTAGCATTGAATGTTGAAGAATGTAATCATGTATTCTTTGTCCCTCTTTGATATCTAGCAGTTGAGCACATATGGGAATAATACTCACAAGAGTGACCGAATCAGGCCTTATTCCACTCGAATTCATATCATGAAATAAATCCATTGCCTTTGAGAGCCAACCATTCGATGCATAGCCAGCAATAACAGTGTTCCAAGTCACAGTATCTCTTATACACATATTCTTAAAGATTGACTCCACTTCTTTCGTATCTCCAACCTTCGAATAATGACTCAATAATGCATTACACACTGAAACATCCACTTCAAGACCAAACCGAAGCACAAAACTGTGTATTTCTCTCCCATATAACCATCCATTATCGACAAAACCACATATTGGAAGAACATTCACAATTGTTGCATAGTTCGGTATGAAACCATTCAACACCATTTCATAGAATAACTCAAATGCTTCATCAAAGAGCCCATTTTCAGAACACCCTGCAATTAATGAATTCCAAGAAACAACATCTTTATCACCGATGAGCTCGAATGAGACTCTCGCATCATCCATAACCCTTCCACACTTCGCATACATCGATGCTAGTGCATTCCCTATGAGAGTTTCTCCTTCCAATCCTCTCTTAATACAATGACAATGCAAGCTCTGCCCATGTTTCAAAAATCTCAACTTTGCACATATAGGGAGAAGTACTGCAACACTTATATCAGTTGGCTGAACCCCTTCGTCATTGAATGTGTGCATCATATAGAACAAGCCCATTGCTTCATTATACATGTGAGCACGGGCAAAACCCGTGATCAAGACATTCCATGACACGGAATCTCTTTGACCCATGTCGTCAAAAACCCTGCAAGAATCATCCAACATATTGAACCTTGCATACATGTGCATCAATGACTTCGCAACAATTGCATTAATAGTGAAACCCATTTTTTCTGCAAACCCGTGAAGGGATTTACCTAGGCTTGGATTGGAGAAAGCCGACGAGGATTTTATCGCTGCAGCGAGAGCAAAGGAGTCGGGGACTTGGCAGGAGCTCTGCATTGATTTGAATGTTGTGACTGATTCAGTGTGTTGTTTGTTAGCAGTGAAGGTTTTGATTGCCGAGTTGTTTGATTTGTAGTCTCTTTGGGGAATTTCATCGAACAGGTTGTGTTCGTTAAGGTTTGTACGAACAGAAAGAGACCTACGCTCGGTGAAGCGAAGAGATTTTTTGAGATGCGGAAGCATGAAGAGGGTTCAAATTTTCAAGGAGATTTGCTAGAATACACCAAAAGTTTAGGGTTTGATGACTATTCTGAACATAATTATGGTAAGTATGGTTCAAGTGATCAAACAAGAGAAAAGAACGTCTGATCCTGTTAAAATCATTAGTAATTGTAGACCCACAAGCCTTTATCAATTCTATATTCGGTACCAATTCTTTATATTTCTAAATTAGACCCGAGTCCATTAAAATGTTTTAAATAAGACCCCTTAAGTCCAAGTTGATTTAAATATGACCTTCACCAATCTATTAAGTTGTTTTAAATTACACACAAAATCTATAAAGTTGTTCTAAGTAAGACCCTTATTTCAAACGAATACGAAGATCTGATGTTAATTTAGAAATATGAAAAATTGAGGGTCAATAAGGATAACTAAGATTTGAGGGTCTATTAAGAGAAAAATCCAAATCTACTTCGCAGCTCTAGCTATTATGTTAGGTAGGGTTTGGATATCATGATGTTTTTCTTATTTTCATCATCGTTTTGTTAAAAACAGAACAATGTGTTTGGAAACCATGATGTTTTTTTAGCTAAAATATTCTCAAACCAAAAAATACGACATCTATTTCAAAACATCTTTTAGGTGTTTTGAGTTTGATGTTTTCGTATTGAGTTTGAGAGGAGTGTTAATATTGTTGGGGAATTCTAGACCCCGCATACTACTACGATTTGCGCAACTTGGAAGCCAACCCACAATCAACAAGATATAAAACAACCACAATTAAGAAGAAAGAACACTGAGATTTACGTGGTTTGGTCGACTAACTTCGATCTACGTCAACGGGGCAACAATACGAGAAATCCATTGTGTATCAGAGAGAACTATAAGAGGAACCACTTAACTCTCGTCTCTCAATTTCTCAACCTCACATACATAATCAACTTTCATATTCTCTCCAAAACCCTCTCCTTACAATCTTTTGAACGGACAAAGACTGTGAAACCATCTCCCAATGATGTAATCTTTTGCACAAACAAAGACTACGAAACCATCGCCTCTCACACAATATTCTTGAATCAGGCTACGCCTCTGCTAACTCTAGATTATAAGAATATTGGCTCTCTCCTCTGCTTGGTTTTTCCTTCAACAATAGAAGAATATATATATGGGAACCAAAACCCTATCTCTAGCCTAACTTTCTAATTAGAATAATATTCAAATTTCTAATCATGATTAGACCCAATCTCCTAATCATGATAGATCTCTAATCCTATCTAATTCTCATAAAATTATAGAAAGAATCAAAGACACAATCCCAACAATCTCCACCTTAGATTTGTTTCCCAAGCTCCCTTGAAGATATATCATCGCTGTCTTTAAACTTTGCCTCTCACACTAGCTTCTTCTATTCTTTTACACTTCAAATTGAAGTGTCTGCACTCCAACTGGGATGTCTTGTGACCCTCGCTATCATCTGCTTCGTCGTGGTGCCACCACCTCTCTTGTGTAACACCAAGAGATCTTCGCTACCTCTGATATTAGAAGCAAATCAATCATAATTCTCCTCCCAAACTGAACTTGACGGTAGCCTTCCCTCACTTGCTGTCCTTGTACTCCACTTGCATTGCTTGTCTCGAATCATATGGATGCACCTCTCCTACTCCACACTATGAGTTGGATACCTCTATCTCCTCCATCATTTGGCTTGGACGAAATATGAGCGCTCATCACTGTAGGCTGTCTAAAAATCACAACGGATAGCTAATTCTCCATCGAACACTGATGATGGAAGTTACAATCTGACGACTTCCAGAAGGCTACAATTCGAAGATTTTTACATGTCAAAGAGTTAAAGCAAAGATTACAAAACGACAGTCTTTAGCAATACTCTGACAGAAAGGATTACAAATCGACGATCTCTTCAAACCAAGACGTGGAAGTCCTCCCCGCGTACTATCATCAAGACACTACACCGATTCAATCACCTACGCCGCTTCAACAGCTATAAACACGAATGCAGCTTCTTATGTGAGATGATTGATCTTGATGGCTGCGACAACAACATGACTAATATTATATTGGCAACCATTAGAGGTGCTGATGAGCAGTGTAATGATATTCGACACACTCAGTGGAGATCATGACCTGCAGTTGACAGAGCGCTATTGAGATGCCTCAATTGTCACAAGTGGCTTGAATAAGACCTTCTTTACCAGTCTTTGGTGTCATCCATATATAAAGACAGAGAAATCTAAATACTACGACAATCAACAGCTCGAACGCAGCTCCAATCGCTGCCAAGCACAGCTCGAACGCAGCTCCAATCGCTGCCAAGCACAGCTCGAACGCAGCTCCATCGCTGCCCAACGCAGCTCCAATCGCTGCCAAGCACAGCTCGAACGCAGCTCCATCGCTGCCCAACGCAGCTCCAATCGCTGCCAAGCACAGCTCGAACGCAGCTTATCAACCATCGCTGCCCAACGCAGCTTATCAACCGTTGCCAACGCAGCTCATCCATCACTGCCAAACGCAGCTCAATCACCGCCAGAACGCAGGTCAAGGTTCTGACTCATTCAAACGTGATCGTAACAACTTCGAAGCTGTTCTTCACCCACGATTTGAGGAGTGGCTTTAGTGGGTTGTTACACCCGACTAATGGGGTAACTAAACCCCCATTTAGGCGCGGATTATGGGGGCAGTTACACCCCTAATCCCCCTATAAATAGCAACAAACTCAACAGAGTAAGGGATCTCCTTTTTGGATTGGGGGAGATCGTATTTTTGATAATCAGATCAAGAGAGATTTCTTTTCATTAATCGGAGGGGGATCTTTCGATCAAATCTTCCAGAATCAGAAAAAGGAGGATTGACTCCTTACACAGTCTGGGAAATCAACAAACGGAGGATCTCTAAACCATCGATATTTGGCTTATTAACCGAATTATTTTCGGTTCCAACAACTCTATCATTAGAGTTTGTTACTTGTTCTGAATCACAAAACTCGACAAGAGTTATCAACCGGCCAAGACAGTTGTTCCAGTGAAGTATAGATATTCGGATCGTCAACGAGAAGCAAACTCGACGCAAGCATTCGAGGGAGGCATCTCATCGCTACCGTGAAGAACCCAGAATTAAACAAAGGGGAGAATCCAGATCATTCTCTTCTCTTTTGTAACTAGGAATCCAAATTGTAATCGAGAGTTGAGAGAGTTGTAATCATTCTTTTTCTAAGCAGTTAGAGAGAATAAAATCAAACGCAATTCTTTCCTTATATTCTTTTTATTACAAAATTTCCCACAAACAAAAGATGGCGACTCCGCTGGGGACTAGCTTCTCTGACGAAGAGGTGGTGGCGCAATCCGACGTTCACCTCACTGGAACAACCGTGGAAACCTTGGTCGTGGAATTTGACCAAGCCAAATACGAGGAGGCTCTCTCTTCCGGATCGCTCAGCCCTAAGGCTAGGCGAGATGCTTGTAAGAGCTCTAAAGAAGTCTTAACTGCTGTTGAGACGCCAAAGAAAGTCCTCTCCTTTGGCCAAAGCCTCAAGCTCGCTCTGCAAACCGAAGATCACACGCCTATGTCGACACAGCGTGTACTTGGTTGTAAAAGGCCTATGACAGAGATAGGCACAATCAACGCCGGTGTTGCTGATACTAAGGCTTTGAAACAAGCCAAGAAAAACGCTGCTCGACGACGAAGAAGGTCCATCCGACGAGCACACCTCCGAGAAAATCAATCCCGAGTCCAACGCAAGGATTGCGTCCCCGAAGATCTGCCTAAGCATTGCGAACGCACACTTCGAGGTAATGAATCCAATTACAAACCTCGGGTGATTCAACTTAAACGCGACCCTCAGTGGTGCGTTGTCCAATCAAAACACAGCCCTGTCAAGGGAAAACAAGCACCTCAAGAGTGCGTCCAAACAAAACAAGACCCTAAAGGGTCTGTTCCTTCAACTAAACGCAGGCCAAGGCCTAGTGTTTATAAATCAAAACGCGACCCTCACGCTTCGACGCCCGAATGCAATAGGGTCCGTCAGGTTCAACAAGAACCAATTTCACCCACTCAAGAACAGGGAGTTTCATCCCCGATGAAGAACTGTCCTCGGGTCTCAGATTTGCGAGAGTTGCTTTCCAGAGAAAAGCCAACGCAACGAGCAGCCCATCCATGTCATTGCGAACGGCTTATTTCAACAGTCCTTTCCGAATGTCACTGTTGTATTCCTGAACCTCGCAGATCTGTATTCGACAGATTGACTGACGTCGCAAGACCTACCAAACGACGACGTCAAAAGAAGAAAGTTTCTGAAGCTGAATACCCTCAGGTTACCATCAACATGACCAGTAGAGGAAAAGCCCCGTGTCCCAGTTCCGATGAATCAGAAAGAAGCCATTCCCCGACCGTTCGAGAAATTTGCGACGAGTTCGAAGGGGTATATCGACATACCCGGTCACGGACTGGAGCTATCCGCCCGGTTAATTACCAAAGGTTAGCCCAAGGGATTACGACAAGTGATGAACATTCGGCAATAGCTGAATCTCAATCTTCAAGCTCTGTTGGAGCACAAAAAGTTTCTGTTTACATGACGACGAATCCCGAGGACATAGCTAAAAGAGTGGATGAACATCATACCATGCTCCAGGCACAACAGGAGACACTTCTCCAATTGAAGGATATGTTCGTCCAATTTCTCGCTGAAAAAGGGCAAAAACCCGAGTCTTCCCGGAGGACTACGTCAAAAGGAAAGCAGAAGGTGCACGAACACTCAGATCGTGAGACTCACAACTTAGATTCTTCTTCTGACAATGAGAAGGAGATGGAAAAAGAACTGTATCCTCAGTCAACCAAAGTAGACGAGCTAGAAGCCCGCCTTAACGCAATGGCCAACAGGAGCGAGCTTCGCGAGGAAGGAGTGATACGACCCTACCCTGCAGAATGGGATACGGCTCCCTACCCACCAAAGTTTAAGGCTCCAACGCTACAACCTTTCGACGGTACAGGGTCACCAAATCAGCATATCTACTACTTCAAGTCTCAAACAGGAGATGTGGTAGCCAATGATGCCATTCTGACGCGCTTGTTCATCGGCACTCTTAAAGGGGTGGCCTTTGAATGGTTTATGAAACTGCCTGCTGGATCTATCCAGAAGTGGGTAGATTTGGAAAGGCTTTTCTTGGCCAGATTCTTCGAAGATGACACAGAGGTTTCGGTTCCTACTCTTCTCGCCACAAAGCAAAAGAAGGGAGAATCTATTAAAGCCTATGTGGAAAGGTTCCGTAGCATGGCATTGCGATGCCCATCAGGTATGACCCAATCAACTCTAGTTGAAACTTGCAGGCACAACCTGCAGACTCAGCTCCTCGCCCAGATGGGAGTAGCAGAATGTCGCTCTTGGAGACAACTAGTTTCACAAGGGGAGCAAGCTGAAGAGATTGTCGCTCAGATAAAAGCTGAAGAAGAGCCACAACCCAAACCGCAGCAACAACGCAATCAGAACAATGCCCAGCGGTCTAAGGGAAAAGAGACTTTAGCAGCTGACTACACGCAAGTCCCACCGCCTACTAAGCAAGGCAAGACGCCCAATCAGCAAAGAGCACCCAAGCAGTATTCGTTCAAAGAAGAGCATGTGGACACTCTGTTCCAACTACTTCGGAAGAACAATAAATTGCAGCTCCCCGAAATCAGAAAGCCAGATGAAGCAGGGAAGATAGATGACCCCAATTACTGTCGCTATCACAGGTTCTTGGGACATCCTACCAGAAAATGCTATGTGTTCAAGGACATCTTGCAAAATTTGGTGAATGCTAATGTACTTACTCTGAAGCCGGAGCAGAAGACTGTATCTACTAACTTGATTGCGGTCCAATTCGGTGATTTTCCTCCTGTAGCTGCTGCAGACGGTGTCATCCCAGTCCGTAAAGGGGAGATGCACCTGAAAAACACCGACTTACACAATCAGAAGGACAGGGGGTTGGTACCCCTCACAATTTCCAAAGGAGAAATCATGTGGGTCCACCCTGATCTAGTGGAGGACCAACAGTGGACGAATACCTGGTCCAAGAAGAAAGGAGGCAAGGCTAAGTCTTCTAACATGATTAGCCCCTCCGTTACTGAGAATGATGACCACCTCAAAACCCTTACAGATTCAGAAGAGGAGAGGATTGCCCTGGCAGCATATCCGGGAGATCACCCTGGCACTCGGTCTGGAAAGACTTACTTGAAAGACTACGGCCAGAATGCTCAAGAAGTCGAGGAACAGCCCCAAGACGCTGGAGGTTCTGTCCCGAAGAAGCCAGCGGATAAGGGGAAACAAAAAGAACTCCGGTTCAACAGGAATCTCCACCAGGAACACGGGGAGTCGAGCAATCCATTCCAATTCAATGTCATGGCGCAACTGGCCAACATACCGGCCAGGATTACTCTATACGAGCTCCTGAGGTTGTCCAAAACCACCAAGGAAGCTCTCATTGAGGCATTGAAGAATACAGAGAGCTTCATCACCCAAGTCATTCCAGTTCCTGAAGCTTCTGATGATCAAACTTGTCTGCAATGCCTGCAAGCGGCGAGAAGTCTACCCTGCATATCATTCACACAAGAAGACATGCAGGTCAAACACGAACATGACCGACCACTGTACTACACAGGGTATATCGGATCTTCTGAAATCAGTCGTGTCCAGGTTGACCCGGGCTCCGCACTCAGCATTATGCCTTACAGGGTCATGCAGGTTTTAGGGATTCCTATGCATCGGTTGCACACTACCCAGACCACTATCTTTGGTTTCAACGCCAACAGTACTCGACCCCTAGGGAAGATCAAACTCAGGTGCCAGATCGGAGATCTTAAGTCTGAAGTAGCATGCTACATCATAGATGCGGACACGTCCTACAATCTTTTGCTAGGACGACCATGGATACATGCAAACCGCATTGTCCCGTCTACCCTACATCAGGTCATGAAATATGCTAATGATGAGGGAGAAGTTCGAACCCTGATTGCGGAAAAATATCCTTTCCGAGGGGTAGAAAACTTTCACACCGACTCTGTTTTCTACTTGGAATCTCAGGAGAAAGAAGATGTTGACAGTGGCAATGAAGCTGATGTCGAGCCAGATCCGCAAGGGAATTGTCCATGGGAGTTAAACTTTGATGTAATTGGTTCAGTCGAGAACAATAATAATGTACCGAGTGAGGGCGAATGGTGCATTAATGAAGATTTTATTTTGGCGTACTTGTCTGATGAATCCTTTAAAGTTGGACAAATAGTAAATGATCGTGATGCAGGTACCCACTCATGGCACGCATTGTGCACAGAGGCATGTCTAACAATGCCAATCAAGTCATCTTTCGCTTCCAATGAAGAAGTGGAAGACGCACAAAAGGCTTTCTACAAAGTCCCGTCCAAAAGGAAAGGGCAGAAGCCGATCCAGTTCGGCAGAGTCAAACCCGAACAACTTAAGCGAGGAAGTTCAGAGGAAGACGATGGAGTTCCTCAGTTTCATTATCACGAACCCAATTCCATCCAATTGATGAAACGAATGGGGTATAATTTTAATGAAAAACAGGGTCTGAATTTCGGGAAAGGTAGACGAACCCCAGTCCGAATGTCTCTAGCCCCTGAAGGAAAACCTCAAGATTATTACCACAAAACCAGAAGTGGTTTAGGTTATGTCACAACTCCCTCCGCCTCAGAAGATGAAATCAGTAATTATCTGGGCCAAGATCATTCATCCAGAATATCTTCCTGTGAATCTGACGTCAGTGTTGGACCCTTCTTTAAGAGTCTGACTGTAAACATGACTTCAACCAGTCATCCGGATGAAGACGCAGGGGGTGATGAAGAATTAATCGAATTCACCGACGATCCTTGGATCAAACGCCTCAACATCTTATGGGACATGTGTTTTGAACAACGCGAACCACCCACTGAAGATAAAGTGATCCAGATCAACATAGGAGACGAATCCAACCCCAAACCTATCTTTATCGCGGAAGACTTATCATCATCCGAAAAAGAGAATTAACTAGGAATCCAAATTGTAATCGAGAGTTGAGAGAGTTGTAATCATTCTTTTTCTAAGCAGTTAGAGAGAATAAAATCAAACGCAATTCTTTCCTTATATTCTTTTTATTACAAAATTTCCCACAAACAATCACCTTCAAGTCCAATGCCAAAATCTCCATCTCTATATGTGTCACTCGGTCGTGCCCGCTTGCGAGCTCCACCTAATCTGGCACTGTCCTCATCGAGTCTATACACCAGCCAATTCTCGCTCCCATGATGATTCTAAATAATTATATGCTGACAACTCTACTACTAGAATCACGTCTGATTCTCTACACTAGTCTCAACCGTCGCATACTCGTTTGCCCTATCTGCTAGATCTGTCTCATTACAATTATCAGAATTTATCAGCACTTTCTAACTAATATGAGCAAAATCTGAAAAATCAAACCCTCGCATCACATTCAGAGCACTCCAAAACCTATGAATCAACTCCTGAATCGTCGAAATCCGTCTCCAAATCCTCGATCAGAAGACACATTAATTTCACCATCGGATTTGATTTAATAATTTTTAACCAAACCCTCACCCACGTGAATAGTGTTGTCGTTACTACAGTATTCTCGCTACTATAATACTCTCTCTTTTTTCTTTTTCTTAATTTAACCAAACCATCACATTAATTTCACCATCGGATTTGATTTAATAATCTTCATCTCCATCTTTATCTTCATCGTCAAACAAAGAGAAGAAAAAAAAATTTAAAGAGGTGAAAAATTTCTTTTATTAATTGTAACAAAAGTTATAGATTTGGAAGGTCTTCTCAATTAAGAGTAACTCTCCTCTCCAAATGGAGTTACAAAATTTTTCACACCCTTCAACCCCTCACTCTCTACCCTATTTATAGCATACAATAATGAATGAGAATCGTTGGATCAAACTTGAGCCCCAAGCCACTCAATTTCAGCCTTTAAATTCAGAACAGGAACATGACATCTATGCTGACATCTATGCCGCTATCAATGTCGGCATCTATGTCGCTATCGATGCCGGCATCGATAGGCTTGTTTTTTTATTTTATGGCCGATTTTCTTCTCTTGCTTGGCTTTTGGGCTTTGACTTTTAGTTTTTACTTGTATTCTTCATTAATTCATTGGGCTTTTGTTGAGAGATAAGATCTTGAGCTTTATTCTTCATTAACCTGCAATTAAAAATAAAAACAATTATTAGTGGTATATTTATTTATGTAAAATAAATAATAATGGTATAAAATTATAATAAAAATATGATTATCAACACATGCATGTGGTGATGCACCAGTAACAATCTAGAATAAGTGTTCAGCGTTATAATTCAATAAACTAGATGGAATAAGTGCTGAAAGAAGACATAATAGGAAAGGGCAGCCTATGATTTGGATGAAAAAATAAGAAAAAAGTTTCACAGGGAAAAAGTTTTAAAAAGCACCTCTAACTAAATAAACTTTTGTTTTGGGTTCTTAAAAAAATCTGCTTTCAATATTATTCAAAAAGCCCCTCTAACTTTTATATTCTTTCTTATTAGTTTATTAGCAATACAACTAAAAAAATTGTTTTATCCATAAATTAAGAAATTCCAAACCAAATAATTAAATCATTATTTTTTAATTTTGTTCACGCTAATACTGCAGCAAGCATGGGTGAATTATGCTTGTTTATAAAACTTTATTAAGTTTTTAGAAGCAAATAATGACTCACTACAACGCTTCTGATTTCGAACTTCATTTAGGACCCCAAGCTGACTCCAATCTTTATTTGTTGGAATTCCTTGTGGAAAAGAAGTCTGCGTCAAAATCAAGAAAAATTAAAGGTCAAATAACAAATATTTAAAGAGACTAAAAAAACACAGGAATACAAAACATAAGCCACATATAAAACTCTACAGCTTTCCTCCTTCACATCTCCCTCCATAACAGTGAACCCGTTAAAGTAGGATAAAATACAGTAAGATCAGAAACATAAATCGAAGGACACTATATATTTGGTCATAAAAGAAAGATTTGCAAAGCAACATCATGAAATAAACTTTAAGAAACTATGCGAGCCTCCCGATTTTAATTTGTGGGTTTTCTTGATAGTCAATATAGAATGAAAATAATAATTTATTACCCGGTTAAAATTTTTATAATTTATAATTGTAGGCATCGAAAATTGCCTATAGGTCTCCACAAACGGTTCAGTGTTAAAAAGCAACGATGAACGTCACTATCCGATCCACAGGAGTCCAATTGACGTCGATGAACGATTGAAGTGAATTGACGAACTACGTGAGCTGATAGGATTTCGGAACAACGAAGACCCGGACCAATCGGGAACCCGGCGATGTATCCGAGTTTGGACGAAGAATTTACAGCGAAAGCGGACGAATGCACCTCAATGGAATGTCCTAGGCTTTTCCTAGACACCCCAGGGGTGTCTAGGCGCCCCAGGTGCCCCCATTGCCTATAAATAGCAATCTTAGGCCTCATTTTTGAGGATCTGGATTTTTGGGAGAGTTGGCGAAGCCCTGCTGCAGTGAAGAGTGATCGAGCGCTTCAACAAGGGAGAGGTCTTCATCAGATTCTTCATCACCCGTGCCCGTTCCTTAGTATTACCCTTCGCCGGTAATCACTAAGAAGAGCAGATATCTCGTTTTAGCCGAGATAGACGCTTCATGCTTCTAGATCTCGATCAACGAAGCTCTGTCCGAATTTTCCGGAACAGATCTGAGTGCCAGGTAGTCCACGGATATCGACGTCCCCGTCACAGGCCAAAGACCCACGCAAGCAAGAGACGATAAACGGATCTTGCGTTTATTTTCAAGAAAGTTGTAATTTTTATTTCTTTGTTATTTGAATTCATTTGTAACGACTGAAGTTTAATGAAATTAATTATGAAGGAAACTTTCGACGAAAACAAGCTGGCGACCACAGTGGGAGCCAACGGCCTTGCTGCCGAGGCCGTCGTGACGCAACCGGCATTCAAGATCCGGGTGAACGAAGAGATCGAATATGAGTTCGATCAGCAAAAGTTTGAAGAGTACCTCTCTTCCTCCTCCTCCAGATCCGCCTCTCCAAACAGGCGTAGGAAGACTTCATCTTCCAGAAATGCTCGCCGGACCTCCGGCTCTAAGATCCAAGATCCCGTCGCCGTTGCTGTACCCGTGCCCCGTGACATCCCGGCGACATCCAAAGGGGTCGAGGCTGCAGATCCAGATCTCCCTTCTGCCACAAAGGCGATTGTCGAAGGTGCTCCAGCTGTGTCAAAGAGGGCGCGCCAAAGACGGCGCCAACGCCTTGCACGACAACTGGCCAAGACCACAGAATCGATGGACGAGATCCGCTACAATGAAGATCTCAAGTCCAGACAGCGCCAAGAGCAACAACGGCACATAACCAACTCCTCCTCCAAAGCAGAAACGAACGAATGGGTTCGTGTCACGAGGACTCGCTCAACCCTCGAAGAGCGAATCAAGAAGCGCCGCGCATTGCTTGCGCATGCCCGAGCCCTTCTGCAGAAAGCAGAGGAGATGCAGAAAGAAGAGACGGTCAAGAATCCGTCAAAACTCAAGCAGGTGTGGGTGCTAAAGGCAAAGCCAGCGCCTAAGACAAGAGTGGACGATGTTGCTGTCCAACCTTCATCAAATCCAGATCCCGTCTCCCTTGCCCCCGCACCTACGGCGGAGTCAGGTAAGAACGTGGATCCTTCAAGATCCAGGGTTCCTTTGAAAAGTCGCATCGGTCCCTTACCAGAGAACCGAGGTAATGCACCTGTCAAGGAACGATTGGGACCGTTGAAAAGTCCCCAAATGTCGAACCAGACTGGGGGTCGTGTTAATCCCTCCAAAAAAGATAACAAAGGGAAAGCCCCTGTTACCGACCGCATCGGGTTGCGTGTCGAAGTTCAAGAGCCCGTTAAGTTTTTACGCTCGCAAAAGCGTAGACTTGAACGAGTGACTTTTGAAAATGCTAATAAAGCATCATATCCCCAGAGGAAAACATATTCGTCTGATGATGATGGTGTTATACCTGGGAAGTCATGCCAATACTCTATGGGTTGCTCCAGTTATCAAACTGATGAGTTGTACTATGGAGCTGGGGGTGCGAGTAAGTCTCGGAAGAGAGATGCTCGAGACACGGAACCCCACTGTCCGTGTGCCAATATCATCAGGGCGGTGTTATCAGAATGCTGCTGTTCTAAAACCCAAAGAGAGTCTCGGTGTTCGAGAGGATTTCCAAGCCAAGGCGTTTTCGTGGGAAGAAGTTCGTTCGCCAAGAGGACGAATTCCTAGAAATGTCTGTTAATATGACTGGCAGAGGCAAATCGACACGACCCTCTAGCTCAGATCAACTTGCCGAAGCATCCCAGCGCATGACTCGATTGCGGTCAGGGATCAATAGGCGAAAGAATTACCAAAGAATGCAAAAGGGACTTCCTTTGGAAGAGGAGGCGTCAGATGCTGATTCAGACTCCTACTCGGCTATAGCATCCGATGACACGGCGTCTAGTGCGGGGCAACTTTACGAGTCACTCATGATCAGCGCTGAACAAGTAAGCAAGATGCTTGAAGATGCCCTGGCTAAGCAGAAGGAAAGTTTCAAGTTCGAGATGGAGATGGCTATGCAGCAGATGAGAGAGATGCATGACCAGCAAATCGCGGCTCTGACAACTCACCAAGGAGAACCCAGTCGTCGCAATAATCCGAATCAAGATGAGAATGAACGGGAAGAGGAAAATGCCAACATGAACATCCCTCCCGTCAACAACAATAACGGAGGTGGTCCCTCGGATGATAATGCGAAGGAAGACCACGTTACTTCTCCTCGAAACCACTCGAAGACAGATACGAGTGAAGACAAAAAAATGAAGGACTTGGAGAGCAAAATCAACGCGTTGATGAATGCTCAAGAAGTGAAGAGGTCCGGCATACCATGTCCGTACCCAAGGGAGTGGGAATCAATTCCGTATCCGGCAAAGTTTAATTTAATCAACTTTACGCCGTTTGATGGAAAGGGTTCCCCTACCCAACACTTAATATATTTTAAGTCTCATTTAGGAATCATTTCTGGGAATGAACCTCTTATGGTGCGGTCATTCGTCGGCACTCTTCGCGGAGCAGCCTTCGACTGGTATCGCCGTCTCAAGCCCGGGAGTATCAGCACTTGGGATGACATGGAGGACATGTTTCTAACGAACTTCTTCGACGACGACACCGAAATCTCAATCGGTACACTATTCGATGAGAAACAGAAGAATGGTGAGACGGTCGAAAATTTCGTGAAGAGATTCCAAAACAAAGCAATGAACTGCAGGGATCCGGTCAGCGAAGACTTCATCCTCGAGACGTGTCATAATAACCTTTCATTGGACATCCTCGAAGCTATGGGAATGGCACCGCCAAAGACCTGGAAGGACTTAAAGGTGCGAGGAGAACGAGCCGAACGATTCCTTAAAAGGAAGAAGGCGGAAAGGGGTCAAATAGCAAATAATGCTCCGCAACCAAACTTTGTCCCTAAGGGTAAAGGAAAAGCACATGCAAATGCCGTGGACGCGAATCAGACGTTCGAGGTGCAAGCGCAACCGAAACAGCAGCAGCAAAAGGCGCCTCAACAATCAAGGTGGCAACAGCAGACCCAGAAGCCAAAAGCCTCGGAGCCGAAGTTCCCAAAAGTCTATTCGTTCAAAGAGGATGAAGTTCCCGGTATCTTCAAGTACCTCATTGAGAATAACAAGATCAAATTGCCTCCAATCCAGGATCAGGAAGATGCTAAGAGAATCAATGATCCAAAATACTGCGCATTTCATAGAGCAGTGCACCATCCTACCAAGGCGTGCTATGCCCTTAAGGACAAGATCCAAGCTCTGATCGATGTCGGGGTCATCACTATGAAGCAACCCAAGGAGAAGAAAGTGGGAGCAAATGCAGTATCAATTAGTTTCGGTTCTGTTCCCTTGAACTGGTTCCAGCATGAGCCAGTAATAAATGCAGCAATAAAGATGGTGAACGATGATCCTTACAAGCAGCGCCAGAAAGGACTTGTGCCACACACAGCCCCTAATGGTGAGATTCTTTGGGTTCATCCAGATTTGATTGGAGATGAACAATGGACTGGAACCTCTTCCAAGAAAAAGTCAAAAGGAAAATGTAAGTCTTGTTATGGAGCTTCTGCTATTCCAAGGGAAGATGACGAAGCAATGTCTGCTTTCTCATTTCCCGACAATGAACATGGGAATGAGTATGGTCGACTGGATGGGGTGGAGATGATTACAACTACCCCCGTACCTGCTGAGAGGACCCAACAGGAGCCCCTGCACCAAGATGTTCAAAACCCGAGGCAGTCTCGATTCAATCAGCAGATTGGAAGAGATAAACCGGGAGATTCAAACATTTCATACCACTTCGATGTTATGACCCAATTGGCTAACATCCCAGTAAAAGTGACTCTACACGAGTTATCACGTCTTTCTAAAAACACTAGAGATGCGTTCAACATTACTCCTGACCAGCTCACTCAAATAGTTCAAGAAGCATTAATCAAGCAGAAAGAAGAATTTGAGGGTAAGATGGAATTGGCTATGCGACAAATAAGAGAGTTGCAAGCTGAAAGGTGTAAATTTCCTAAATCGGATCATCAAGATGGGTCTAGCTGTTGCGTTACCCCAATCACGTCTATTCTAGATAGGACAAATAACAATGGTCCGAATTTGAATATAGTTGTCAAGACTGATTCACCCATCGATAACACTGGGGGTGGTACGACTAGATCCTTCAATGACACTGGGGGTGGCCCAATTCCTACTTCTCAACATCATACAAAGAAAAATGAAAGTGAAGACGAAAAGCAGAAAGAAGTCGAGTCTGTCACCACCTCGACTAGGTGATATCCTAAAAGAAAGAGGGTCGAGGAAAGCCAATCAGAGTTCGTACCCAGGTTCGCTGCTGATCAAACGTCACAACGACATCCGTGGGAGCGATCGCCACAACAGTCACTTCAGATACAACGATACTCTTTCAAGGATGATGAGGTTCCAGCCATCCTCAAGTACCTCCTAAAAAACGACAAAATCAAGCTCCCACCTATTAAAAGCCAGGAGGAAGCCAGCGGGAGTTCAGACCCAAAATATTGTGAATACCACAGAAGGATCCATCATCCCACCAAGACTTGTATCACTCTCAAGAATACAATACAGGCCTTGGTTGAAGCCGGCGTCTCAATGGCAGAACAAACCGAGTGAGAATGACCACCACACTCCGAAAAGTATACGAGTATAAACTGCTTCTTTCAAAACTCCAACGGGCATATGAGTGTAAACTGTTCCCTTTGTATCTAACGGGAAGTTCCTGGAGAACATCATACTCTTAAGGATAACCCGATATCAATAAAAAGATGTTGGAAATAAAATATTGCTTATTGAATCAGTCCCTTAAAGTTTTTGATGATTCTCAATAAATTTGAACCCAAATGGGAGGGACCATTTGTAGTAGAGACATTCTACTCGAGTGGCGCATATCGCCTAGTCACCAAGGACGGTGACCGGCTTATGATGCCGATAAACGGTAAGTTCCTGAAAAAATACTATCCTTAGTATCTTCAGGATAACCAATGTATCGGGAAGTTCCCAGAAGAATACCACATGAGTATTCTTAGGGATAACCCAGTCATTGTAGAATTAATGAATAAGAAATCTACGTTCGAACTCTGAATGTCAGAATGTTTCTTCTTATTTTTATCAAAATTCTCTAACTCTTATGAGTCATTTTTGTGAGATGAGATCCAATCCTCTGATAGGTTAATCTTTCCTCACCAAACCATCCGCTGATCAAATTAAACGACAGTGGATCCACCAACATTTCCATCTGCCCGTCGTTGGCATTTCTCAGACTCAACATGTTAGGTTCTTTCCATGAACGAGAGGTCCACTTTTAAATTGAGCGATCAAGCCTATAAAAGGTAAGGTCGTCTCAGACCCCCCCACTTCCACTGCCTCCTTGGTCAAACCTATAAAAGTTAGGGCCAAAGCCAAATTCCTCTCTCGATTCCTTCTATGAACGAGAGGTCCACTTTCAATTTGAACAGTCAAACCTATAAAAGTTAGGATTGTTCCCGATCTCACTTAGTCAAGCCTACAAATAGTTAAGACTAAGACCGAGTCATTCCTTTTCGAGTCAAGCCTACAAATAGTCAAGCCTACAAATAGTTAAGACTAAGACCGAGTCATTCCGTATCTTTCCTCGCCACATTAGCCATTAGCTGCGCAATGAAGCTCTCATGTGACTGAAGCTCGCATCTGATGGAAGATCTCAAGTCACGCCACTGTGCCAGCCTATGCCCCAGCTGAGAGGACACGAAAGAAGAAGCCCCATTAATCTCCAATTCCTTCAACTCTCGGATCTCTGACTCCAGGACAGCGAAATCGACAGTGAAGGAATCGGCCAATTCCGGGTATCCTTCTTCCCTCATCATCATCATGTGGCGAGAAAAGGAACGCCTGAACTGATCGAAACAGTATCCTCTGTGAAGAAGTTTCTCGATCATGCCGTTATAAAAGGCAGTGAAGAAGCCGAGGTCCGTGCGAAAAATGTCTCTGTCAGGATCAGTATCGACCAAAAGGGTGCGGACACGCTCATATAGAGAGGATCGAGATCCTACAAGCAACAACATAGAAGTTCAGTGGATTATCGAATACGACAAGGAAATTCAAAGGCAAATTCCGAGCATACCAACGCCAACGGAGGTCCCCTCAGGCTGAGGTCCGACAGGCTCTGAGATAGCGACAGAAGTGGTCATGGAGGGTATATCAACCCCTGCAGGCAGATTGCTCATACCACTCGGCAAGGACGGGCAGACGCCACTTCTATGCAAACTCTCAGCCCCGGGAACTGTAGTAGTATCAGGCACAACGGCCGGTCCTATAGTTACACTCCTGTATTAGTCAAATGGAAATTTGGACAAATAAGGAGAATCGGGACAAGAAGATCGTATGCATACCGGCAATCCCACCGTCCTCAGATGCAGCGGGAATGCCAAGAGTCATAAGGGTATCGGCCCAAGCGGCTGGTCCTATAATTGTACTTCTTTATTAGTCAAAATGAAAATTTAGACAAATAAGGAGGATTGGGATGATAAGGTCATCTGCATACCTGTAGGTCCATCATCCGTAGGTATCTGGGGAATGCCAGGAGTCATAAGAGAATCAGTCCCAGTGGCTGGTCCTATGATTGCACTCATATATTAGTCAAAAAGTCAGATAAACAAGTAGAAATACGATATCCCTAAATCGTATGTGTACCTGTAAGTCCGTCATTCCGAGGCAAGCTAGATATGCCAGGAATCGATATTGGGCTAATCCCAATGGTTGGCGCTGTAACATTAATCCTTCGTTAGTCAGACAAAAGATCAGACAAGATGAAGGGAATCAGATATATACCTATGAATGAATCATTCCCAAAGAATGGTCTCTTGGTTCCTCTGGTAGTCTGTTCAGCCAGCATGTCAGCTAATAAGCCAGCATCGGGTTTCGAGAAGCTTGGTAAAGGAGCACACCCCCTCTCCTCGAAACCTACATCATGATAGGCTCCATCCTCAGCTGGCCTTTCCTTAGCGACATCTGCAGGGTAACCTGAATGTTGGAAGATGAGGAAAGCTAAAAAAAATACTTGCAGCAAAAACAGAAGATCTTCCTTCCCCATGCTTGAGGAAGGTAACATTGGATGTAGATATACCTGAATATGGGACGATGGGCTCAACACTATTCACCTGCTCAAGATCAATGTTTAGATCGATGCCCAGAGACCCGTCATGAAGGGCGTCGCACATCTGCTGCATAAAGCAATCCATGTTATCAGATCCAGGAGATACCGGACCCGGTGGGAGTTCGCCCTCTTCGAAGAACCCTGGAGCATAAAACATGGTTACGAATCTCAAAAGGTAAATCACCTTAAAGCAATAAAAATAAAATGTTACCTTCCCCTCCATCGGCAGTGCTTCCTAAGTCCACTCCATAAGGACGATGACCGTCGTAGGGTTTATGTGCGGTCTTCTTCCTTTTCGGGGCACCAACCCTCCTAGGACCAACGGGTCGGTCATGCACAGGCTTGTCACACGTTTCAACGTGTGTAGGAGCTAGCGGCTCATGATCGTCAACTGTCCTACCTAAAATGACAATGGTCATTTTATTAAACAAACAAGAGCTGTCGTTTATACCAATTAGAATGGAGAAGGAAAATCAAAGAAGCAGGACAAACCGGTATCGAGTTCTCCTCTGTCGGTATCTATATCCACATATTCTTCCTCGGAGGTCTCGTCGTCGTCACCCGTAGGAAGGAGCTCTTCATCATTTGTGAGAAGAGATTTGGCATGCCCCTTTCTCCGCCTCTGAGCAAGCTCAGCCCTGCGAGCAGCCGTCATAGCAGCCCGGACCGAGTGCTCGGACTGTAACTCTGAAAGACTCCTCATACCTATGGATTCATAGGCGGAAAGGAACCACTTGCAACTGAGGAAAGTGATCAGCGGCTTACGCCTATATGAAGGAAGAAGAAGGAGTTTAAGAGTTTGAGAGGGAATATTTTTGAATTTTGGAAAGAGGGGGAAACAAAAAAGGAAACAAACAAAAAGAGAGCAAAAGGAGGAGGGTGTCTCGGCTCTAGAACCGAGACACCCTAGGGTGTCTCGGCCTTGGCCGAGACACCCAAGGGTGTCTCGGCCAGGGTTGAGACACCCACGGGTGTCTCGGGTCTCGTTTGGTCCCCGTACGCCTATATATATGCCCTGTTAGGCCCGAATTCGCCTGTGTTCGTCGATTGTTGGATGTCTTGATGAAAATCGACACCAATCAACATTCGATGCTCGAAACCCTAGGGTCAACGACGGTCAACGCGTAACCCTAGGTCAACGCCAGTCAACGCGTTGCGACCAAATAAGTCAACGTTTGACGATTCGAAACCCTAAGGTCAACGCCGGTCAACGCGTAACCCTAGGTCAACGCCAGTCAACGCGTTGCGACCAAATAAGTCAACGTTTGACGATTCGAAACCCTAAGGTCAACGCCGGTCAACGCGTAACCCTAGGTCAACGTCAGTCAACGCGTTGCAACCAAAGTCAACGTTTGACGGTCCAAAACCCTAGGGTCAACGCCGATCAACACGTAACTCTAGGTCAACGTCAGTCAACGCGTTGCAACCAAAGTCAACGTTTGACGGTCCAAAACCCTAGGGTCAACGCCGATCAACACGTAACTCTAGGTCAACGTCAGTCAACGCGTTGCAACCAAAGTCAACGTTTGACGGTCCAAAACCCTAGGGTCAACGCCGATCAACGCGTAACCCTAGGTCAACGCCAGTCAACGCGTTGCAACCAAAGTCAACGTTTGACGGTCCAAAACCCTAGGGTCAACGCCGATCAACGCGTAACCCTAGGTCAACGTCAGTCGACGCGTTGCAACCAAAGTCAACCGTTTGAGGTCCAAATACCGCTAGGTCAACGCGGATCAACGTCGTAACCCTGCGTCAACGTCATCACCGCGTTGCAACCAAAGTCAACGTTTAAGACGATTCAAACCCTAGGTCAACGCCAGTCAACGTCGTTGCGACAAAAGTCAACGTTTTACGATTTCAAAAACGCCTAGGTCAACGCCATCACGCGTTGCAGACAAAAAGTCACACGTTGACGATTCAAACCCTAGGGTCAACGCCGTGTCAACGCGTAACCTAGGTGTCACGCCATGTCACGCGTCTTGCGACCAAGTCGAAAACGTTGATGATTCGAAACCTATGGGTCTAACGCGGTCACCGCGTAACTCTAGGTCAACGCCAGTTCAACGGTTGCGACGCAGACGTCAACATACTGCTGATCGAATCCCCTAAGTCAACAGGCAAATGTGACGGAGGTTAGTTCCAAAGTCAACTCAATGACACGCAGCCAAACTCAAATTTCATCAGCTTGCCGACTCTGAGACAACACGACGACGGCCAATCGATTAAACGCCAGGGCACGCCGAAAGAACTTCGGTATTCGTTATCAAATGCATCGAATAGACCGAAAATCAAGGAGCAAGAGTTGAAGCTAACTACAGTCCTTACCGCCGACCTGAATGGTAGACCAATCACATCCAAAGTATTGCACGCCTCTTCTCATAAAGAAACGAGTCCGAATCGCTTTTGGAGCGGGGTATCTGTAGGCATTCGAAATTGCCTATAGGTCTCCACAAACGGTTCAGTGTTAAAAAGCGACGATGAATCGTCATCTATCGCGTCCACAGGGAGTCCAATTGACGTCGATGAACATATTGAAGTGAATCGCGAACCTACGTGAGATGATAGGATTTCGGAACAACGAAACCCGGACCAATCGGGAACCACGGCGATGTTTCACAAAAGCGTGGACAATTGCCCTTCATGACTCGATCCACGTTACCAGATAATCCACCTCGAGCGGATCGAATCCCTCTTCCGCAAGCTTACCAACGCACTTGGAATCACTCAAATCCGAGTTCGGACGAAGAATCTACAGGGAAAACAATAATACACCTCAAACGGAGTCCCGGGAAGTCAAAACACCACGGGGGTGTCTAGGAAAAGCCTAGACACCCCAGGTGTGTCTCGGCCAAGCCGAGACACCCAGGGGTGTCTAGGCTTTTCCTAGACACCCCAGGGGTGTCTAGGCACCCCTAGGTGCTCCCATTGCCTATAAATAGCCCCCTAAGGCCTCATTTTTTGAAGATCTGGATTTTTTGGAGAGTTGGCGAAGCCCTGCTGCAGTGAAGAGTGATCGAGCGCTTCAACAGGGGAGAGGTCTTCATCAGATTCTTCATCACCCGTGCCCGTTCCTTAGTATTACCCTTCACCGGTAATCACTAAGAAGAGCAGATATCTCGTTTTAACCGAGATAGACGTTTCAGGCTTCTAGATCTCCTCACGGATCGACGAAGCTCTGTCCGATTTTTTCGGAACAGATCTGAGTGCCAGGTAGTCCACAGATATCGACGTCCCCGTCACAGGCCAAAGACCCACGCAAGCAAGAGACGATAAACGGATCTTGCGTTTATTTTCAAGAAAGTTGTAATTTTTATTTCTTTGTTATTTGAATTCATTTGTAACGACTGAAGTTTAATGAAATCAATGATGAAAGTAACTTTCGACGAAAACAATAATTTTGCCACAAAAATTCACAAACTATAAAATCTCCTTTATGTTGAATAATGAATAACCATTACGCTTTTTAGCCAATATAGATGCAAAGTATATGTGATCACAAAACCAGTCAGCCATTAGTAATATCTAGACAAGCCAGTTTTGGTTTACAAATTCATAATGATTTTTCATTATTGGATTGGATACTTTCTTTTCTGTATACACTTTCTCTAGTTAGAATTCTTCATGTGAAATAGCTTTCCGTCTTTTGCAATGTACTTTATTTCTTTAGGGTAGAGCTTCATCATCTCTCATTCCATCCTTGTTTTATAGATTTCAACAAGGTGTTGTAATTCGCAATGTATTTGGAGAGGGTTAAATTATAATATGGAGGACAAATTTAAAACTACTTTTCAATTTGAAGGGTATAAATCTCAAATACTCTATTATATAACAAATTGTTATCTAAATCTACTTCTGAATCTCAGACAACTTTTTCGGCCGATGTAGTTTGCCGGAGAAAATATTATATATATGATATGAGTTAAAACAATATTCTTTCTACGACATGGGATTGATAATGTAGCATTTATTCATTATTTTGTTGTTGGGTTATTATTAGTTCCTATGGTCTAGTACAATGCCAGCAAAGAAGACGAATGGTAACATTTTGGTAAAAATTTTTGTGCTAACGTAACATTTTTTAAGCTGTTGCCTTAGCCTAAAAGTACAAATCATCGTATTGAAAAAATAATAAAGTCATAACTTACTATTTGAATAGATTTTGAGACCAAAAATTTAAAGGAAAAATTATTGTTTCAATGACATGTATAAGTGGGAAATGAATGGGTTCTTATAGAAGTTTTGGTAGGAAGGATTTTTTATTTAATTTGGTGGTAGAT